TTGGAAAGCTTTTTTTTATACATTTTTTTATACTTTCCAGATGACAATAAATGGCCTTCATAAGTACGAAAAAAAATGTATTTATTTAAACAACGAGGAAAAAATTTATAAATTCTATTGTTATTTATGTGTAATTACAAAGTTTATGGTTTGTTAAGCTACTTTTTTGTAACATTAGGTATCATCTATGTAAAAACTTTAAATTTTTTACATGTTTTTGTATGACATAATACATATTCATTTATAAATTAAAAAAATACTTAGATATAAAGTGATATAGGCAGAAAAAGTATTGTTCTACAACGGAGGCTCGTTATTATGAGTCAACTTACAGAATCTGTCAAGTAATTTTCGAGCAGAATGTAACAATATTAAAATTTTTTTTTTCTTTTTAAGGTTAAAAATTAAAATCATGCATGTAAAGCTATAGATTTACTCCAAAACAGTTTAAAAACCCCCATTGCAATTTCATGAAGAGTTAGATGACTCTTTATACGAGTATATTATTAAATGTGGGAGAAAAATGAGAACAAAATATACTTCTTGTACTATCATAAAAAATGTATCAAAATCTGAGAAACATGTAAAGTGTGCAATACAAGCAAAGAGTTTCTTATTATTGCATGTTTTCCAAGAAAGAACTATCTTACATTGCAAAAATAGATCTTTTATAAAAATAGGTTCATTATTATCTAAAGAATTATGCAATAACAACTATTTATGGAGTCTGGCACGTAAAACGTGCAGGGGGCAGAGCTAGACTAGTATACATACATATTTTTGTAAGTGTGGCTTTATTCTCTATTCCCTTTATGAACCAACTTCTAGAGTAATTTGTCATTGGGTACCTTCCCAAGTAATAAAAAGCATACCTACATTGAAAATGTATTTGGGCAAAAAAAAGTTCTGACTTAAAAAAGGTTAAATAATAAGAAATTATTTGTATCTATGTTTTATTTTTATACCTTCTTTAAACCATTATATTTTTTCCACAATTTAATTAGGAGCTTTCTTTTGTTCCACTCCTATATAAATGTAATAGTGTAGTAGTGATCCATAATTAAAAATTTTCCCATTCTTAAGAAATTGCTACTGAAAGGGTACTTAAAAAAGTTTTTAAACAAACCCTCCTCTGCAAGCTTTATATGAATGTATTTGAACTTTTATGTCCACAAAAAAAGATACTATTTATATTTCGCCATACTCTACATATTCCATTAACAATACTTGTAGAAAAAATTTCAGCGCACGAAGAACTTTATACTCATAAATTATTTAATACAATTGTTTCAAGCTAATTTGTTTTTTTACTTACCATAAATTAGATAAGAATAAGTATGTAAAAATAAATAGTCATGTATTTTCTAGGCCAGTAAAGCATAATTAAATGTCTTAATATGAAATAATAAGTGTTAAAACAACGAAGAAGACGAAATCTTTTCTTTTTTTGCCTTGTTGCATATTTCGTGCACTTACTGCATATTTATTTTCATACATTTCATGAATCTTTAAATTCTTTAAATTTAAAATAAAGCTCCTGCAATCATTAAAAGCCTGCATGTAACTGCATGTACCTATACATGTTTCATGCTTTACCTAGCGTATAAGTAGACGTACTCAGTGCAGCATGCGTCCGTATCAGCCTCCACTTTCCCCAGGATCCTAGCACCTTTGATACATCCTGATAAGGCCTTTTTGCTGGTCACATCCAGCGATCTTCTAATCACTGGGTAGCTTCCACAGCTGGCTTCATGCTTGCTTTGTGCACCATGCTGGACTGTAGCACTTCTTCCTCTGGTTGTCAAAGCTTGCATACTGTGTTAAAACTTAGAACTTTTTTTTCGCAGCTACTTGAGATTTTTTCGTATCGAACACAACTGTACAACTTATTACTGTAATTCTTTTTGAGGTTTAACAGTTAAATCTGCCTTCATTTGCTGCTGGTCTTAAAGTAGATTTATCGACCATTATTAGCGCCATCCTTTGTCATCTGGTATTAGATTTTCGAAAATATTCTTTAAGTTCTTGGCTTTTTTTGTCCAAAAATTCTTACAACAGCACATTAAACTTTTTTTTTCTCAACATTGGTATCTAGGTTTAAAAGTTTGAGTGTACCATTTCTTACGTAACTACTATTATTCATCATCCAGCTAACAACTTTTCTAGTTGTTAGGAGAATGCAATAGTTTCCTTGACAACTTTAGCTTTAATTGACATGGCACTTTTTTTCATAGTGATAACACTTTAGACGGCAGCATTAGCTTTGTCAGGATAGAAAATTCCCTTTGTCATCCCTAACACACTTCCAAAGTTCTGTCTTTCTGTCACCGTTACTGTGTATATTCTATTGTACTGTTTTTCTTAGAAAGAGCTTTTTTAAACTCTACCGGTTTTCTTTTTCCTAAAAGACACAGATCTCTAGCTTTTTTGGGGCTTCCTGATAGACCTCTGTTTCTTTTCACCCATTTTATTTTTTTTAATGCAGAGTACAAAGTCTTTTTTCGAACTTGATTACTTCAGCTCTAGGCCATCTCTTTTCCTGGAGTTGGGCTCCTCTCGCATGTATTCACTACAAACGCTTACGTCATTGGCTTAGCCAATCCTCAAGAGATTCAGTTTTTAACTTAGGTTTGGAAGAGGCCATAGAAAATTTGATGGTCCTTGTTAAAAATAAACAGCGTCTTCATGGCTTTCCTTAAAATACATGGGCCTGCTGCAGTCAGTTGGGCTTTTACTGGATTGGAACTACCCGTAGATGTCCTCAGAGATTACTGCCAGAGGTACATATTTTACTTCAATTTTAGTCATTTAGATATTTCATTTTAACGTGTTGTCTGTTGAAATTTAACACTACCATTTCATTTAAATATTTCTATCTGGAAACTATTAAATCCATTAAAGTGGCTCTCTCTATTACCAGAGATGGGCACGACTTGCTCGAGCTGGCTGGGAGTCACCACTCTCCCTCAATCCCCCTAGTGCAGACTGCTCTGGCATTAAGTTAAAGTGTTAAGAAAGTGTTTGTATACCATGAACATTTGTGTAGGCATACCATAAGTGCCGTAGAAAGACGAGCAATAGGTCGACTATCTTAGAACTAGAGCAAAGGGCACGACAAAGCAGGCTGGTGTTAACACCTCATTAAAAAGTGCAACCATGTAATTTCATCAGTGGCAGTAAGCCTAGATTAGTCAGCCCACCACGTCTTTTTTAAACAAGACAAAAAGCCATTTCAGATGTGGTTACACCGCTTTACCCGGGCCCTAATCATCCGGTTTTACCCACTGTCAGAGGATCCACGTTAGGCAGGGAAAGACACGAGTTTTTGCCATGAACAGCAGCTCATTGGTATACAGTAATAGTTTAATTTAAGTGAAATGCTCGTATCTAAGAAAAATGATATTACTGTTACTTAGTTTTATACGCGAATGATGTTTGTTTTTGTTGGCCCACCTCTTGCAGTTACGGCCTGCAGACAGTAGAAGCAGAAAAACTACAAAGCATAAAGCATAGGCTGTTCTAGCTTGCGCATCTGCATTAACAAAAGCAGAAATCACAAGGCTTATGCCCTCACAAATTAACACGCTAACTAATACAAACCACGGTCCTCACTCCCTGCCGTTTGCCACCACCACTTATAGCACCCCAACATTACCATTACCTTTTTTATCTGAGAAAAGAACCCTTTTTTGCCACCTGGAAAGTGTCTGGTATAAACAAACTAGCAGAGAATGTTTGCTGGGACTACTACATAGTTGCACAAAGGTGAAATGCATATAGTAGAAAGTATTTTAGTAAGCTTGACAGACATAGCAGGACATAAAAGGTCGAAAAAAGTTTGTGGGATTCAACTTTTACTAAAAGTGCTTTTGATTGTCAACCCAAATGAATTCAGGGGACCATATTTAAATATTATAGTATGGAGTTAAATTTTAAAATAGGTTCGTCTTATTTAAGAATCCAGCTTTCTGTATTAACAGACGTTTTCTTGTATGTTTTAAAAACAAAATTATGGTTATGTTAATATAACGAAAATTTATAACGATAATCGCAGTCTGTTTTTATAATAGACACATATGTATTACACAGTTAAATAAAAATAACGAAGAACCGTTGTGGCCACGTTATCACAAATGTAATGCTGCATATATTTTCAAAAATTTTGAAACAATTTATCTGGATTTGTACAAATATGGTATTTGTGGCACAGCTAGAAATAACAAGAAATTTTGTGTACTCCGTATGTATTGTTAAGTAAAAGAGTTTGGATGGTTGTTTAATAGTTTTTATTTTATATTCAAAGCAGATGCAAAAATATTTCTACATTTTCTTAAAAGCAGTGCTTTGTTTAGTAAATTTGAGTTATTTTTACTGCCAAAAATGTTTTTAATGGTTCTTAGTAGTTCTTACATATTAAAAATGTTATGTCACCAATCCATCCTTAGAATAACTATACAAGAAAATGTATTTACAGTTCATCATTAGCTGCTTTCCTAAGCTATACTAAGTGACAATCCTTGTTTGAACTAAGCTATCTGTGTTATATATTATGTATCTGTGTATCTGTGTTATGTGTTAAGTAAAATTTTACTAAGAAAGTAAGATCCTGAACAATTTTTTGTATACTTATCACTTAATTTTAGTAGAAAGTATTAAAATACTAATAGCATTTATTGTTAGTTTCAGTTGTTTTATAAATTTACATTTGACCTCATCTGTTGTACAGAAACAATATTATAGTTATATTATGGAATAGTTTTTTAATTTGAAAAATTGTAGAATATTTAAGCAAGTCTAATTACAGTTCTTAATAAAATTCTCTAAAATTTGTTAAAGTACCTAAGTAAAGTAAAAAAAACAATGACACTTTTTTGTTTCGTACCTTTAAGTATAAGTAGTTATTCTACTTTGAAAGATAAATACAAGAAAGTTGTATGCATGTGACTCAATAATAAAATTATTTCTTGCAATAACTATTGAATGATGAGTTATTCTTTTAGATTCTAGAAAACAACTACACACTGAAAAATTTACCGCAACAGGTGGATAGTGAAAGGCTTACACTAGATGATTCAACACTTACTTCTGAGAAGCCTTGTACCTGTTAGAAAAGTATTCTTCAGAAAACTGTTAAAACCATGCATGTAGTAACCTTAAAATTAAAATCTGAGAAGTAAATATTACAAAATTTTGGGAAAAAATTAGAAGTAATAATAAACTGATTTGTACTAAAAATTAATTTGTTTTCTTAAATAATAAGAACCTGATTCACTTCCTAATATTATTGTTGAACATCCTAAAGACCCAGTACATAACTACGTTACAAAAACATTAACCAGTGTTACAATTAGTTATAGATGTATTAAGTTGATTAACTTATGAGTTTATGAACAGAAACGTTTTTGAACTCTTATTATTTAGTGCGGTAAGACCACTTCTTCTAATACAAAAAAAAAAACGTTTAAGGTTCCATCTCATTTTTGATGCATAAGCTTTTATTTATTAAAGCTTTTAATTTAAGAATATATCTTTACTATTTTTAAACAGATCAGTAATTGTACGTGTCATTTAACATTTTGTGCTTTCTCTGCATTTTACAAAAAAAATGTTATGTTAGCTAAAAAGAAGTATGTGCAATAAATGAAACAATAAGAAAGCCATGTGTGAAGTAAATGTTTTTATTTTAATAAAAGATCGTTGACGTTTAAACCCTTACAGAAACCTCTTGAAAATATATTAATAGTCTCACTTGTGGAGGTGTCTCAAGCGCTCGCAACAGTTTTTAACTGGCATCCAAACTTTTACTTACATATTCATTCAGTAAATGTTTCGGCCGCACCGACCAGACACAACTTTAAATAACTTACTCACATCAAATATACAAAAAAAATCTACACGAACTGAGGGGAGTGCTAAATAAATGTGGTTTATACGAAGAATTTTTTATAAAACTTTTTTTATTTTTGATGCTTTCATTCATTTAAGCGTTCATCAAAATCATTAAAC